ACGGCGATTTTGTTTAGAAAAACAAAAAAATAGTTTACAAAAACAACAATAATGTTTAGATTTACATATATGTAATCGTGTCATCGTTAAGTTTTTGTACAGTAAACTATGGCAGCACACTGCGTGTTATTTTGTTAGCAAAATGTTAGTTTACAGCACACTGGGTGTTAGTTTAGTTTGGAAAAGCTAAAAAAATATTTTAGGTACAAAAATTGCCCGCCCGTCAACGGCATGTCTTAGTAAGCCCGTCGTTATCAAGCCCACCGGGCGACTACGACAAGCGTTTCAGAATACGCCGTGTAAACTAGGCCCAACAGGGCAGCATCGACGGGGTACATCGATGGGGTAGTAACCAGAGGAGTTCAGTGTGCCGACGGGAGTTGGGTATATAAGCTGGTCGTCGTCCCCTTCGGCCGGCGAGGTGGGACTAAACTTGCGTCGGCCGCGGGGCGACGTGGAGACAGCCAGACGCGACGTGGGCCGGCCCAAAAAGGCCATGGACGGCGTGGACTTGTCGACGGCTCGACGCGCCGTGGGCCGGCCCAGTTAACCCCCGCTGAGACGACGCGCCAGGAAAACTAACGCTAGTTTAGTCCCACCTCGTCGATCGAAGGCGACGATGACCAGTTTATATACCCAGCTCCCGTCGTCAGATTGAACTCCTCTTGTCTACTACCCCGGCGATGCTGCCCTGTTGGGCCTGGTTTCCACGGCGTGCTCTGAAACGCCTGTTGTAGTCGCCCGGTGGGCTTGATAACAATGGTCTTATTAAGACACGCTGTGGAGACGGACGGGCATTTTTTTGTTCTTTTTTTCTTTTCCAACAACAATTTCCAGAGTACTTCTCTTATTTTAATATATTTGACAGCCGACGGGACAGTAGTAAATACATGCAGAATTCATAATATAAACAATGAATAGTGAATATTTATATCAACAATAAGGATGTCTCAACATAATAATTGTCAGCACAGTAATTTTATTGTAGTGGACAGAAAATAAGAAGTCTCAAATAACAACGGTATGTAGGCAATAATCTTGTTTCACACATATAAAATACTCAACACGAACATAAATTTAACAAATGTTTTTCATATAAATGGAAGAGGTAAAACACTTGCATCGTCTTCACTTGAGTCTTCAAGCCCAGTTGATGCATAGAATAAATAAAAAAATTGTGAGAATCAATGTACGGTAGATGAATCAACGAAACTAACATAAACAAAGCAAAAAGACATACAATTACATATAAATGGATGCAGTAAAACAGATGCACCGTCCTCACTTCTGTCTTCAAGCCCAGTTGCTGCATAGAATAAACTATGAGAATCAATGTACCGTAAATGAAACAAGAAAACTAACATAAACAAAGAATAGACATACTCTTCATTTTTGCTGCATGTGCTCCTGTTATGACCCGAGCCGCTGCATATGCTACATTTTCATCCAGATTTCTCGTCAAATGCTTTAGGCCTCTCATTTTTTGTCACATCTGGGCCACCCTTACCGCGACCTCTACTGTTCTGCTTAGGTGCACCCTTGGTGGAAACCTTTACTGGATCACGAACCAGAATATGATCTCGGTTAGGCTCAAATGGATTATTGTTCACGAAGCTTCGCTGACTATCATCTTCATTTCTCTGAATGTCCTTATTCGCTATAATATCATCTAGGGCTGCCGTGAACTTGTCGACTAAGAAAGGATTACTGCATGCGACATGACATGCTTCTGAAGATTTGATGGTCAACTCACTATATCTAGCTCTGTCCTCAGCACTCGACCAACCCCACGCAAACAGATCGCTGGTGCGCTTCACGGGCAGTCCAGCTCGTGCTTTTTTTGAGAATCTTCGCATGACACAACACTTGGGTATCACAGGTAAGTTCAGTGCATTCAAAACATGAAGAATATGCTTGCAAGGAAGCCCTTTGCAAGTCATACTTCGGCAACTACACTTTATAGTTTCTGCTGAGTTACCTGGCATATAGTCCATATTAAATCTGTGATCCCTGTTATTCTTCCACGCAACCACAAATCTCTGACTATCGGTCCCTGTCAGTCTATCAATTACCTCAAGCTCATGTACCTTCTTCATATCTTGTTGCAACATATAAAAGTTTGCCTGCGTGAATGCTTTCGCAGCATACGACTCAATGACCTGGCACTCAGTCACTGTTACTGGAAGAGTCTGTGAGGCCGTGTAGTCATCATAAGCTTCATTCTCACGGAGGCGAACAATACAATTCTCGTAGTGTATAATCATGTCAACGATCGTCATACCATAGTCAGATGAAGGTGCAGGCTAGAGTTCAGACTCTCACTCCTCTGATTACTGCGCATACCAAGGAAAAACCCACCAGACAAATATGATGCAGCCCAAAGCGTCCTCTTCCTGTACATCCTATGGAGCCATGTTTTCGTTCTCTCCGTCTGCCATTTGCGCACAAACACGGCCCATCTCTCCTCAAAAACCTTATGTGTAGTGGCATAGTACAATAATGCCCTGAACTCCTTCAATGACTTGTGGTTGAGGTGTTTCTGCATATTCTTTTCAATATGCCATGAACATAGACGATGCCACACGCCAGAAAGCACCTTCCTGATAGCCCTTATCATCGTTGCATCTCCATCGGTAATTACAGATTTAGGCCTCTTCTGACAGTTAGCTTTCAAGAACGTGTTAAGCAACCAAACATATGTAGCCTCAGTCTCGTCTGAAACAATGGCGCAGGCGAATACTGTAGTGCAACGGTGGTTGTTCAGACCCACAAAAGGGATGAACGACATTCCATACATGTTCATCTTGTATGTGCTGTCGAAGACGACAACATCACCATAGTCTAGATAATCCCGGCGTGACTGCGAATCACACCAGAACAAGTTTTGGAGCCTGCCTTCAGCGTCAACTGTGTGCTCAAAGAAGAAGTCTGAATCTCTGTCCTTTCTGGTCAACATGATTCCTATGGCAGTATCAGCACCACCTTGTGCAAGCAATTTCATCTTCTCCCTATAGCACATGTTATACAGCTTTGTCCTCTTAAACGGTGACTTTGCATAGGACCCATACCTGCTAACGATGTTGTAAAAAATGATATGTTTTCTTATTCCAGCTCCAGCCATAGCTAAGATCTCAGCTCTCTCAAATGCTTTGATCTGATTATGAGATCGGAGGAAAGGGACTTCGTCCGGTCGTGCAAGAGTGTGGCTGTGATCATCGAAGAAACTGCTGACATACCAAAGATTGAGCTTTTTATCAAGCTTAACTGTCAAATGGGCTTCGCATAAGAATCGACTCTCCGGTCTAAGCCCGCGGGTCCGGCCTTCCATGGTACATAACTTGGTTGTCATTTTCCTGCGGCGGAACAGAGATACCTCCTCAAGCGCACAGTCCTTGCGTGATCCTTTGAACGTTTTAGCAAGTCCTTCATGATGCTGAACCCACGTTCTCTCGCATGCTTGTTGTAGAATGTGTACACCTCGTCTAATGACCTGAATGTCTTTGCCATCACTGCCCAATGCCTATCAAGTGACTCTTGCTGATATTCATCATAGCACATGTCAAGGTCAAACTGATCATCATCGCTGTGCTCATCGTTCCCGCTAGGACCATCAACACCTCCCTGCAAAATATGGCATATAACCTTGCATGTCAATCTGTTCTTGTATTGTTACTAACCATAAATAATGTTAAGAACTTACTTGGCTACCGCTCCCACTACGAGATGCATCGACCTCGCTCTCGGCATTGTCATCATCTATATTATTACGCTCATTGTCACCATTAGCATTCATCTGTGCACATGTAAAGTAAAATAAGTGGTCATACAATTTTAATGTCAATCATTGCCCTACAATTTTTTCAACATACCTGGCTCACACTATCTGCATAAAATTGTTCATCTATATCATATTCCTCATCGTCATCATTGCCATGTAGCTGTACAAATTTAAAAGGACATGTAAGTGTCAAATAACTAGTTTGTATTCAATATGTTTTGGTCAACATTGAAGGCACTTACATTACCACTGTACGATTCATCCTGACTCATATAGTTGTCTCCGGGAGGTTGGTTCGCATTCAATGACGAGGATCAATTATCGCTACCGGAATCATCACTGGCGTATCCGGTTACTTGCTCCATCTATGCACATACAAATAAGGTGTGAGATCAATGCCAACATTCCACAACATCATCGTGAATACAGTAAATTCGTCAACAGTGACATGACTATGTGGCATGCATACAAATTTAAACATACAAAATCATTATGAGGTCATTAAGAGGTCACTACTCTCCTCTCTTATTTAGCTAAGTAGGGAATCATTTTGCATAAAAAAATGCAATGGACAAATCAAAAAGAAAAAAAAGAGCCAAAGAACCTACTGTGCGCCGTCGAGGGGTCCTGGCTTGAGGTCGACGCCGATGCGCTGCTGCCACCCACGTCGTGGAGGGCGCGTACCAGGACGGAACGTTGACGCGGGAGCGCTGGGCGTTTCACCAGTGACACGGCGTGTGGGTGACTACGGACGCCATCGGTGCTCGCGACTAGACGGGCACGTCGGGGTCGACGTCGTGACGGCGGTGGACCACGGTGGCGTTCATGCCGCTAGGGTTTCCTAGGCGGGGATGGGGTGTCGTTTCACGCGACACCGGTGACACGGCGCGTGGGTGACTACGGACGCCGCCCGACGTTGTGACGTCGGTGGACCACGGCGGCGTTGATGCCGCTAGGGTTTCGTACGCGGGGATGGGGTGTCGGTGTGGGGCGTCGTTTTTTTTTTCTTTCCCGATCGCACTACCGAACGGCATGGTATGCCTACGATGCGGGCGTACGGGGCGGGACGTACACGGGTGGCCGGCCCTATGACGGACGGCGGGTACACAAATACATAATTTAGTATAGACGGGGGGTTCGTACCGAAGTACTTCTCAACAAACATTTATTCATTATTTTGACACAACTCTTGCATGAACCGATGATATAGGGATGTAGCTACCTAGCTAGTTAACTGCACAGTGTCTAGATGGCAATCCTCCGGAGCAAAGAAGAGGCGGTTGTGTTGGAGGTCAAACGTGAAGCGCGTGTCCAACATCTGCCCCGCCCCTATCACCGTCCTCTCTGCGTATGCCGCTATGGCGAAACACGCGTAGTGGGTATGCTGATGCATCGTCTCCACAAACAGCAGCTCCGGCTTGATAAAGAGCGATGCATGTGGAGCTTCCGGGTAGAAGTGGAGCGTCACGCTCGGGAAGTGCGCGCGGATACTGTCCCACGTCCCATGGAAGCAGAGCTTCTGCGCTGGGGGCAATATCGCGTGGTGCACCCCATGGCGCTGCATGTGCTTCACGACCTCGGCCGCCAGGACATGGTATGCGGGCGGGGCCATCAAGGTGTACACCGTCCCGACGTCGAGGGTGCACCCACCGCGGAGGCTGTGCGGGTCGAACTTGAACATCGCCGGCGTTATCGCCGTGAGCCTTCGCCCACCCAGGCTGACGCCAACGAGGTTGACGTAGTACATGCCTCTTCCCTTGGCGAGGTCCCAGTGCAGCAGCGCCGCGCTCCGTGCGTGCGACTGGTCCGGGATGTCTGCCCCGAACCTGAGGAAGCCACGCCGGTGGAGGTGCTCGTGCTCCTTGCCGACGAGGCAATAGGAGAAGCGCGAGCCGGCGAGGCCGCGGTCCGAGAGCTGTCGGATGAAGGAGGTCGGGTGCCTGTTGAGGCTCATGACGCCGGCCCAGACGTCGCGGTTATCGAACCCGTGCGTGCTGTGTGCGCAGCCGAAGACAAGGCCGCCGACGCTACTGATGGGGCTGCCGGGGCCGCTTCCGTCAAAGACGAAGTCGTCGCGGCCAAGGATGCCATGCGCGCTTGAGCCACCGTACTGGAACTCGACGTCGAAGATGCACCGGCCGTGGCCGGCGCGCCCGTACGGAGCCGTGCAGCGAGGATCTGTGGACGCAACGTAGTGGTAATGAGGGGAGACGGCGGTGTTGAAGACGGAGCCGTCCTGCCTCTTCTCCGGTACGCAGGGCTGGCACTGCATCCACGTTAGTGGGCGAGCGAGGTCCAGCGCGAGCTTGTAGAAGTGCTGGGTTGCGCCGCTGCCGACGCCCACACGGACGCTGTAGAGGGGCCCCGAATATGGGATCATCTTGGGGCGTATGGACGTGATGTTCACGCCGCCCTCGGCATCACCTTCCGGCAGGAGCTCCTCGAGTACGCCGGCTGCAGTGCGGTAGTGGGGCACGAGGGGCAGGCTGAATCCGGCCGCACTGCCGCTTCCGGCAGCGCCGAGGGCGAGGTTCACCGGATTTAGCACGGCAAGGAAGAAGCACAACATGCAAGCGTATACACTGGACATGACTAATGTCTCTGGTTGCATTAGCACAATGATCCTTCTTTGGTTGGATGTCGTGTCTTAAATAGATAGACTTCTTCCACTCGGAATACATCAATACATGAAGTTGGAGTAGTGGATATGCATCATCTATCTCAATCTCAAATGATGTGGATGTGAACTAAATGTATAATCATTATTTTATGCAACGAAGTTACAATAGTTTTGCATAGGGAGCCAGAAAAGATTTCTCATTAATGTATTTTTTATACATTTTCAATAGAAAAGAGAAGTACAATTAGTGAAAGGCATTGGCCCAAGATTTATATCCTTTGCAATTAGCACAATGATCCTTCTTCGCTTGGATGTCGTGTCTTAAATAAATAGACTCCTCCAACTCGTACTACATCAATACATATATGAGATATGCATCATTTAATGTCTCTGGTTTCATTAAAACAATGAGATCCTTTGCTTGGAGTTGGAGTAGTGTATATCCATCATTTATCTCAATCTCAAATGATGTGGATGTGAACTAAATGTATAATCATGATCTTACACAGCGAAGATACACTGAGTTTTTTTATAAAGAGCAAGAAAGGATTTCTCCTTAATGTATTTTTTATAGTTTTCAATAGAAAAGAGAAGTTCGTACATGTCAAATAAAAAATGAATAAAGCAAGGTCTAAGAGAAGTACAATTAGTGAAAGGCATTGGCCCAAGATTCATATCCTTTGCAGTTAGCACAATGATCGTTCTTCGCTTGGATGTCGTGTCTTAAATAGATAGACTCCTCCAACTCGTACTACATCAATACATGTATGAGATATGCATCATTTAATGTCTCTGGTTTCATTACAACAATGAGATCCTTTGCTTGGAGTTGGAGTAGTGTATATGCATCATTTATCTCAATCTCAAATGATGTGGATGTGAACTAAATGTATAATCATGATCTTACGCAGCGAAGATACACTGAGTTTTTTTTATAAGGAGCCAGAAAGGATTTCCCCTTAATGTATTTTGTATAGATTTTTAATAGAAAAGAGAAGTTCGTACAGGTAAATAAAAAATGAATAAAGCAAGGTCTAAGAGAAGTACAATTAGTGAAAGGCATTGGCCCAAGATTCATATCCTTTGCGGCTAGCACAATGATCCTTCTTCGCTTGGATGTCGTGTCTTAAATAGATAGACTCCTCCAACCCGTACTACATCAATACATGTATGAGATATGCATCATTTAATGTCTCTGGTTTCATTAAAACAGTGAGATCCTTTTCTTGGAGTTAGAGTAGTGGATATGCATCATTTATCTCAGATGATGCCGATGTGAACTATTGCTACGCCAAAACATATAACCATGATTTTGTGTAGAGAAGATACACCGAGTTTTTCATAGGGAACTAGAAGGAATTTCTCCGTACTATATTTTTTAATAGATTTTTAAGAAAGAAGAGAAGTTATACATGTAAAATAAAACATCTAATAAATCAAGTTCTAAGAAAAGGACAATCAATGAAAGGCATTGGCCCAAGATTCATATCCTTCACATCCTTTGCGGTTAGCACAATGATCCGTCTTCGATTGGATGTCACGTCTTAAATAGATAGACTCCTCCCACTCCTACTACATTAATACATGTAACAGATACACGTCATTTAATGTCTTTGATTTCATCACAAGAATTATATTCGTCGCTTGGAGTTGGAGTAGTGGATATGAATCATTTATCTCAAATGATGCGGATATGAACTATTGCTTCTGCCAAAATGTACAATCATGATTTTTCACAACGAAGATACATAGAGATTTTTTTGTAGGGAACCAGAAGGGATTTCTCCTTACTTATTTTTTTTATAGATTTTCAATAAAAAGAAGAAGTCCGTACACATAAAATAAAACAATGAATAAAACATGGCCTAAGAAAATTACAACGAAAGGCATTGGCCCAAGAATGATATCCTTTGCGGTAGGCCCTATGAATCAGAAGCAAAATATATTGTCTGAAGTTTGTTATGCAAGAATAAATGTTTGGTTGCATGCCCTTGTGGATGAAATAGTTCCTAGTGATCCAAATAGCCTAGGCAATAGAGACAATGATTTCCATGGCAAATGGAACTTTGAGAGCAGATCTTAAGGATTGAATTTGGTCTTGAATGTGGCCTAACCCAGGTAACCATCCTTAACAAAGATATTGCCAACATACATAATCAAAGAGACATTGGAATGGTTTTGGGTCCAGTTTCCCCTATTAGCTGGACTAACTCTCTTCTTCTTTAATGTGATATGGGGCTCCCCGCCCTCAGACGAGGTTCGTAAAAAGGTGATCTCTTGATTCGGTTGCCGGGCCTCCACATAGCACAAATGTGTAATCAGGGAGGAAGAAGTATTTACTGGGGAGCAGCTCCCTTGTGTTCAATCTGTTGTATATGAGCAGCCAAAATCATTCTTTGTGTTTTTTCTGGGAGCAGGACTTCCAAAGCTAATTGAGAGCGGCAACGGGGTCTTTTTCTCTAGTGATAGCCATATATAGGGAAGAGATAGAGTATTCCAAAGGAGATGAGCCATATTTCCATATATCATGATCAGTTTCTAGCTGAAAATCACCGTACATCAGCTCAAGGATGGTGAATTTCTAGAAAGCTTCCACAGATGGAGCAAAGGTGAAAAGGTTCAGGTCTATGATCATGATGCATGATCTGTTCAACAATGGTGTTTTCCTCAAGGGCAAAAGAGGCCAAATGGGACCATGAATCTTCCAGTTTGTTGCAAGTCCAATTATCGTTCTATGAAAGGATAGAAGCATCATCTTGCACCTGACATGATGCCATATCTTTGAATTTAGGAAGCAGGTTTAAGCAGTCCATCTACCAGAAGGAGTAGTCTGCATTTTGAGCAAGTGGGGGCCATTCTGATAATAAGTATCCCAAACTAAATTGGCCGAGGGGATATTCTGCGTATTGAGGAACTTAAAGATGTTTTCCATTAGGAGGACATCATTCTGAGCTTCCAAATTCAAAATACGCAAGCCTCCTTGCTCCTTTGGCCTGCAAACCAGTTCCCAAGATGCCAGGGGTGGATTTTTCTTTTCAAGATCCTTCCCTCTCCATAAATAATGCCTTCTATATTTTTTAATAGTACCTTTATATAATTTGAGGCAACTCATGATGAAAGTAGGGATAGAGGAGAGCACAACATTAACGATCTGGAGTCTACCCCCATATCCAAGGAAGTCAACACATACACTCAATCTTTGTTCACCTTTTTCAATCAGAGGGATAAAGTGATCCATCTTGGGTTTTGTGAGATCTAGATAAATTCCAATGTATAGGAAAGGGGAGGAGCCCTGTTAATACTAAAGGAATGAATCATTTCAGAGTTGATGTTTATTGGCACCAAGAAAGATTTATAATATTTAACTTTCAGGCCAGATGCATATTAGCATATGAGTTAATAATTTCTTCCAGTAAATGCAACTCAGCATGACATGCTCTCATAATAACCAAAGTATCATCAGCATATTGTATCGTAGGAAAGTTCGGGCAAAATTTCTTAAGGGCCGATCCAACTTTCCATAGCTCATTGCATCATTTATTAGATTTTGTAGGAAATCATAGGCAAATGACAAAGAAGAGAGGCGAGAGAGGGTCACCCTATCCTACTTCTCTTCTGCACTTGAAATTTTTCCCAGACATCATTTAATAGAACAACTAAGGAGGTAGTAGAGAAAATGTTGTTGACCCAAGTATACCCTTTGTCGCCAAGCCATTTATATTTGAGGACCCCCAAAATAAAATTGATCAATTTTATCCAAAGCCTTCTCAAAAGATACACGAAGTTCATCGATCGTTGCATCTCCATATCGATTCTCTTACTCATGCATTAATTAATTGACCGATCTAAAAAGAAAAGAAAATCAATTTTGTAAACACTAGAAAATTGTTGAAGTCTAAGTTTAGCCCCATTCCAACACCCTAATATCGGCCATTTTTGGCACTCAAGTGTAAAATCCGTCTAGATGTGGCCCCCTACCCCAAGCAAATTTGATGATCATATAGGCAAGACCAGGGATAACCAGGAAAATGGAGCATGGGCAGTAAAAAAAGTTAATGAATTGTAATTCTTAAAACATGGGAAATAAAAACATTTTAAACCAGCGCCATGCTATCACCAAAGCTGATGGCAGTTGGGTGAGTACCTAATTAATGTGGATGATTTCGACACTAGGGAGCAAGAATGTTCTGTATTGGAGTTTAGAAAACAAACTAACACTTCTGAAATAATTGTAGTGTTGAACATAAACCCTTTTTAAATAAGAGAAAAGCATTTTTTTCGTCCCTCATTTGCAAAGTTCAGGTTTGATCCCTCAAATCTCAAATCAGACAACTTGCACAGTTAAGTCTTCAAACAGGACAACTTTAGTCCCTTGACCCAGCATTCTTAATGATTGAGCGTGGTTTTGAGCGGTCTTTCTCCATGTGGCAATCTCTTTCTTCCCGTCATATTTCTCTTGTGAACGTTCTATCAAGAACTTGGTATGCAATGTCTATTGCTGCAGCGACACACCTCCACCGTTCCTGGCAACGTCGTCCAATGTTCGTCGTTCATCGACACCTCCGCCGCTAACCGGCATGGTGCACCCGAATTTTAAGAAGTGAGTCAAATATTATTTTAAACTTCTTGGCAACATACATGGTCTAGCATAATACTCACGGTAAAAAAATTGGGACAAAATGACTTACGCCATATTCCAAGCAAAAACGCCATTATTCACGGTTTTTGTATCAGCACTTTTATTTATTTTTCATTTTTTTGCTCAGAATGTGACATAGCTCATTTTGTTCCGAAACTTTAAAATTGAGTATTATGCTAGACTATGTTTGTCGTAAAAAAGTTTCACATTTTTTTTACTATTTTCTAAAAAAAATTGCTTAATCGGGTGCGCCTGCACACATGTTCCAAAAATCTGTACCACATGCCTAATTGACTAGGGAAGATGAAAGTTTGCAATATAGGTATAGCTAAAGTGACTTGTGTTTCATAATTTGATGTCTTAAGAAAGATTTGCATGTGGTAGTGTTTATTTCATTACAGAATTGAACCAATACAGATCTTCTTTAGCTGATGCTCTCTGTTTATATGCTGGTTAGTTTGTCATCTGCAAACCATATAGCAGTAGGGCAGTGGTCCACATAGGTTTGAAGTACTGATACATCAACAGTTGGTACTATTTCCTTGTGTATGTTTATCACAGCAGTTCTAATTAAGCCCCTCAGAGAGCTACGGGTAGAATTTGGGCTGCCAGGCTCTGCACTGCTACTTTGTTTGTAATACACAACAAAACAACCTCTGGCGCCAACAATCTGTTTATCCGCAATTCTGATCCCCAACAATCACCACCGGCGCATAAGTCTGCTCCACCAAGCGCCAACAGAAACGTCAGCACTGCATAAATATAGGTGCCGCCTCCTTATCACAACATGGCAAATGCAGAACGAAATATTACATGATCAAATGAGAAGATTCTTTTCCATTTCCTATCTGTCTGAACAACCAAACTTCAAACAGTTGAGCATGACTCACCTTGATCGCGTGTTTCAATTCGAGGGAGAAAAACAAAAATCGTCTGCTTGTCGTCAACGGAACAAGCTCTTCACTTGTGCCACTTGATGCTGCACCCGACACTACAGGAACAGAAACGAAACGTTGGAAAACTAACAAAGTGGATTAAAGACATATGAAAACATGCTAAGATTCTACTTTACCTAAACATACCTTGGTTTTTGGTCGAAAGGCAATTCTTGGCCACTAAGTGCACAGTCAATTGCACGGCTTAAATCTCTACAAGTTGCAAACGAATAAGAACACATGGTAACCTGGAGCGTTTGCACATCGATTCACAATATACCTTCCGCTGACTGGCACATTGTTACTGGGTCTTGAATCATCAAATTGCCCATGGTAAAAAAGTTCAAATGGTCTTCGCCCATCCTGGCACAAAGTTTAGACAGATAAGAAATAAGGAACGATGTGACACAAGAAAACAGAGACACTGAACATATAAGCATCATGAATTCATAGATTACGAGCATACGAGTCAATGTTGTTACCTTTTTGAACAAGTAGAACTCTGGTGTGCAGACTGCTCGAAAACCCTTAGCAACTTCTTGAGACTGCAAGGTGCAATAGTAAGCATAGAGTTGGAGAGATCACAGGGACTGCATCAGGAAGCACATATAGTGGGCAGACCTCATCATACAAATAAGGAAAAGGGTATTTAAACAATTTTGCTTCCTCCGCCATGTACTCGGGGCCATCCTGCAGAATCACAAGATTAATTTGTGTTCAAATGGGAAAACCTGACAAGTTGCATCAACCATAATGAAATAATATGTATTGATACAGAAGCAGCACAATACATAAGTCTAACGAGCAAAGAACAAAAGGCATCTCCCATTTACTAAATTCCTCCAGTTACCTATCATTCATTTTATTAGCTAGATGGATAAGGTTCAGTCATAAATTAAGTAAAATATGAATTTTCTGAGAAAACATTTTTAAGTTCGCAGGAAGAAATGTCCTGGTTAAGAAGTACATAAAAAGGAACTAAAAGCTACTCATGCTTATTGGTTGTAAGTAAAGCATAACCTGGGGATGTGTCACAATTGAATTTGAGGATATGGCGACAGAAGCAAGTCCTTTCTGCATTGCATTATATTTGTATCCATGTCAATTTGAAGCTACAAGCACAAATCAAAGAGAAATTCTCATCTGGTCTTGTAATGTTCTTACCTCCATATAGAATGAAGTGAGCTTTGCAATATCTTTTTTCAGATGTTTTACAAATGGACAGTGATTGCATATGAACATAACCTGAAAGAAAGACAAAGTCGAGAATTACTCTCTTGAACGGACTTGTGTTAAACACCTTCAAGAATTACAGTTATGTTTGCACAACTGAGTAGATATATGACACTCCATATTTCTCCAGGGACACATGAGTTGGCTGAACACCTAGCCTTTAGGGCAGTCTACTGAACCATTTCGTACTTAAAAGACCAATTTCCGAACTGTTACACTTTCCGTGGAAATATTTTTTTGTTTTTTCCCTCGTTTTAGATACCTATTGTAAAGGTTAGAAATTAATTCTTGGAGTCTAAACTATTCATGGCAAAATTTCCGGAAAAACAGCGCTTAAGAAACATGTGACTGCAGTGGAGTGGTAAAAGCTAGAAAAACAGATGGCTATCTTCACAAGCATTTTAAGGAACAATATATGTATGCATGCCTAATAAATCAACTTGCTTCAAGACCTACTAATTCAACTTTTTTCCAACCATCAGATCAGCAATATACTTGCATAGCTCATTGATCCATAAACACCCCAGCATCATCATCAACATATCAAGGAACACATTTATGTCATGTCATACAGCAGCAACTTGAGTAAATATACCAATTTGAGATGGTGACTCAATAAACATACATGAAAAAAGTTGGATATACCGTTGTCACTAAACATCTATCGAACCCCACCAGTCAATGATCAGAAAGCTTCCCAAAAAGTTTTAACGCTCTTACTGGAATTGTCGGATCCCCATATATTCACTGCCCTAGTCTAACTGAGGGTAACAACGAATGCTGAACAGAAAGCACGCATACTAACTTTTTCAGTCATTAAAGCGAACAATGCATCTATCTATAGCACAGATTAACCAAAAGATTCACTGACCAGCAAAGCAGGGCTGCCCTCGAAGTCATCCAGTGTCCAGATTTTCCCCGTCAGGGGCTCCGGGAGCTGCACAATCACCAACAAGAAACCATAAGGAACAACACGGCAGCAACATGAGGTTTCAATCTTGATTAAAACATGGGCTAGAAATTACTAGAAAGCAAGAGCGACCTCGAATTGGGGTGCGCGGAAGCCCACGGAGACGCCGGTGGACTCCAGCCTGGCTGCGCGCACCCGGAGACGCGTACTGCGGCGGCCTCCCCTGCTCGCCGCCGGCGAGACAAGGGACCTATACGCGCGGCTGTGGTGGGCGAGAGCCGGGCATGGGCGGGAACAGGACGACGGGGAGGGGAAAAGCAGGGAGGCACGCGCTCCGGCGGCGCACGCGGCGACCAGGGACATGGCGCGCTCTGCTCTTCCGTGCTGCTGCTATGCACCTGTGTGGCTGCCACTGTCCGAAATCCTGGCTATTCTGTTCGGCGTATCTCCCGATTCCGTAGATGGGCCGACAGCTTAAGAAAGTAGTCCAGTTTGCGGAAGAAATGGCCCAAAGAGAGCGA